TATTTTTTATAATTAATATATATAAAATAAAAAAATTAACTTTTATTTTAATACTACTAATACTAAAAAATTATAAAAATTATAAAAATATTTGCATACCCTCAGAGCCTGGACACTGAAAAAGAGACTTCTGTTGTAGATTTACCGCAACACTGAATTAAACTTGAAATTCCAGAACATGTATTGCAGCGTGTATCGGGAGAAGCTCGCGCGTGTTTAATTTACCATTTCCTTGCGCACGGCAGAGTTCGCGAGACCGCCACGTGTACGCAAATCAGGTCCCAGACAAATAAAAAAATATTGAAATCACTCCTCTACTCATTAGTAACACAGAAAAAGAAAACAGAAAAAACGACGGTACTCTCTCTTTTCTCACTCCTTCTTCCTCTCTGCTTCTGGCTTGCGCTCCTTCTTCTAACCCCCTCCCTCTGTACCTTTCCTTCTTTCTTTTTTCCTTTTAATCATTGTAGAATCCATTTCCAATTTGATGTTCTTCAAGCTGAATTCGTGTACTGATTCAAAATTTGATGTGTTTTTATTTCTTGTTTATACTTCAGATTTTCATAGAAGAGCAGAAGCCATGGCTCCGATGAGGAAGAAGAACTGTTCTGGGAGATCTCAGCTCAGGCATCGCCGGGTGCGTTTTCCCATGTCTTCCTCTTTCTGTTTCAGGCAAGGGCTCTTTCTCCCACGCCTCCTTCCTTTCCCTGTTTCAGGTGAGCCATTCTTCTCCTTTCCTTCTTCTGGATATTTCTTCTTTCTTTCTTAACATTGTAGAATCCATTTCCTTTTATTGTTCTTCAAGTTCTGATGTAGATTTTTACCGATTTTCGTGTTTCTACTCCTGACTTTCATCAAAGAGCAGAAACCAGGGCATCGTTGATGAAGAAGAACCGTTCTAGGAAATCCCAGCTGAGGCGATTTCAGGTGCGTATTCCCATTTCTTCCCGTAATCTGACTTGAATCTTGTTCATGATTGATGAAAAAAAAACAACACTTTTCCTTTACTCTGTGGTCGGTGTAATTGCACCAAACTCGAAGTCCTTCTTCAGTCCGCGCTTGCACTTCGGAATGACCTGCAAAGCCCCGAGGTGGAACTCGGGGTAGACCAATGTAATTGCACCAAACCCGAAGTCCTTCTTCAGTCCGCGCTTGCACTTCGGAATGACCTGCAAAGCCCCGAGGTGGAACTCGGGGTAGACACTCCGATGCTTAAGTCAGCAATAATCGGGGCTACCTT